TTGGCTTCAAATCCTTAATTTCAGCTCATCCTTCTGAAATTTGATCCCTTTGTAGCTGTTGGCAGCCCCAGGGAACAGCAGGAGTTTTGCTGTTCTCCAGGGTGGGATATAAAATCCTACTTTGTCACAAAATTGTGGCATGTTGGAGCTTTTGGACCACAAAGCCCTGGAACGGTTTGGGTGGGAGGGGACCATGGGCAGGGACACCTCCCACTGTCCCAGGCTGCTCCAAATTCCAGGGATTTCCCCCAGTCTGACCTTGGAACAGCAGAAAAAAAAGGGAAAAGAGCATCAAACCCCATGGAATTGACCTCCATAATGGGAAGGGGGGAGTCCCTTGGGTGGAGGAGCTTTCCCAGGAGCTGCTCCCCCTTTTCCAGCCCCAGGTGCTGTTTTCCAGGTGGAACACCTGTACATACTGGTCTGCCAGACACTGGACTCCCTCTCCAGGAAAAAGTGAGTGGGATTTTCCCTTCCCAGGGGAGAATTTTCCCTTCCCAAAGGGGAATTTGTCCTGCAGAATCCCTGCCCTGATCCTGGGCCAAACCCACTCTCCCATCCCTGCCCTGGGAGGAGCATCCCAGGTTTAGGAATGCCATCACAGGGATAACACACAGAACCAGGGCTGCTTTTCCTTCTGGTTCCTGGGCCTTCAGGAGTCCAAAGGAGCCTGAGGGAGCCTTTTCCAAAAGGAAAATCCCTTCGGAATGTGCTGCCAGCTCCTCTGCACTCCCACACTGACACGGATGAGAGGGAAAACCCCATGGTTTTTTGGGATTTTCCCACCTGGGGGGGCCACAGCAGGGCTGGAGGGACCCCTGGCCCCCATTCCATGGATCCTGAGCCCGTTTTTCCCCAGGAGGGAGAAGCTGCCCTCTTCCCTGGGCCCCGACGGCCGCGATGCCGACGCCACCTTCACGGAGAGGCAGGAGGAGGTGAGGCGGGCTCTGTGCTCCCTGTCCTGCTCCAGGGGGGTCCCTCGGTGTCCCTGCCAGCTGGGGTGACACTGGGGGGGCTTTTCCTGCAGTTCCTGTCCCTGGATGACATCCCAGAAACCAGCCAGGCCAGCGTGGACATGAGGAGGGATCAGCAGCCTGCTGTAAGAGGAACCAGTTCCATTTTATGCCTCCTTTTAGTTCTCCTTTCCCTTCTTTTATTCCTCTGTTTATCCCTCCTTCCTCCTTTTCTCCTTCCCTTTTTTCCTCTGTTTCCTCTTTTTATCCTTCCCTTTCCCCTTCTCTTTCCCCCTCCTTTTCTCTCTCTTATCCCTGTTTTTATCCCTCCCTTTCCTCTCTCCTTTTTCCTCCTTTTCTTCCTTTTATCCCTCTCTTTCCCCTCCTTTTCTTCCTTCCTTTCTTCGTCCTTTTCTCTCTCCTTTTTCCTTCTTTTCTTCCTTTTATCCCTCTTCTTATCCTTCCCTTTCTCCCTCCTTTCCTTCCTTCCATGGCACCATTTTTCCACGTGAATCCCAGGGCCATCCAGCCAGGGTGGTGGCCTTGGGGACAATGACACCTTTCCCAGCTCTCTGCCACCTCCCTGTCCCTTCCCAGGCCGTGAACATCGTTCCCCTGACCCCGATGTCCCTGGTGCCCCCGGAAGAGGGGGAGAAGAAGGAAAATCCCCTCCTGAGGTGCCACTCCTGGGATTG